TTTCCAAGAAATCTCTGTGCCTCTGGCATGAAGGTGAGACTCGGGTCCCCCCTGGGTGCACCTGGCTTTTTCCTGTTCTTTGTGCTGGGTCCTCCACTTCCACATCTGTTTGAAGGTACATTGAGTAGTGGGTGGACCGCTGGCGCCCTTGGGCCTGTGGCACCACCCAGCCACCGCGGTCCTGGGCTATGGGACGAGGACGCAGCTTTTGCTCAGTCTGTGACATTGGCTCCCCATAGGCCAACCTTGGCCTCCGCCCAGCTGACTCACTTCTTCGGGGCACTCGAGTCTGTGCTCAGGTACCGGGCCACCGTCATGCAGACCTTCAGCGACATGAACCGCTTCACCATGAACGAGACAGTGCTGTCCACCAAAGATGTCCTTGTTCTCCTGCACAAATGGAGCCTCCTCAAGAGAGACATGAAGCTCCAGGAGGACCTGAGAGCCGCCATTGAGAAATACCAAGTCAAGGAGTTACTGAGTGAGTGTCAGGCCCCGGCTGTCTGGCTTTCCCCACAGTGCAGCCGGCACTGTCCCTCTCTGAGCAGCATAGTCATAGCCAACAAGGCTTAGGAACAGGGTGTGTCCTCCCTCCTTGGGGAGCCCTGGCTTTGAGTCCCAGCTCTGGCACTGTCGGCGCTCACCCTGAGCGATAGCGGGTGGTTCTGGTTGTGCTGAGGATCGGATGGGTTTGTCATAAGAGTAGTGGTGACCATCACAGTCCTGTGGGAGCCAAGCAGGGGCCAGCACTTGGGACCTGTAAGCTGCCCCTCCTCCGCCTTTCCCTCCTCCCCCCTGTATTACCTGCTTGCCTGCCTTCTGCATCAGTGTGGGGAAGACAGGCATCAGTCTCACTGCCTTCCTCTATCTGTGTGTAACAGAGATGCTCAAGGATAAGAACAAGCCTATCGTGCCAGCCCGAGCCAAAGGCCCACGGGGCCGGAAAAGGAGGCCTGGGGAGGCAGAGGAGACTGCTGACCCTGAGCAACAGGCGTCTACCTTGGAGATATGCAGGGGCCTCCTGAGGTCCATACTGACCCACTGGGGGCCAGCATTCCCCAGCCCTGCACGGACCCAGGAGCCTGTGGACCAGGCCACCCCCGAGAGCGATACGCCAGGCCTCGCGTACGCCACCGCTCCCCTGGTGGTCAGCTGGGTGCTGTGGTCAGTGGCTGAGCACCCACTGAGCAGGGCGGAGACTTCAGGACTCCTCCGCTGGCTCAAGAGCCACATTTTGCCCCAGCCAGTGGTCGTGGCTGACCTTCTCAGGGACAGCGCTGTGAGGAGTAACATATTCAAGCTGTATAGCCGGTTCTGTAGTGCCGAGGAGCTGGTGGGGCCCACGCAGAGTGTTGCCTGCCTGTTCAACACAGTCATGCTGCAGTTGGTGGCGGCCCAGGGCCCCGAGCAGAGCCCCTTCCACCCGGTGATGGAGAGCCTCTGCCTCTCATGTCTGCAGGAGGAGGATGAAGCCACTCGAGGTGAGGCCGGGTCTTTGGTCCAAGGCTGAAGGGATGCATGAATGGGTGCAGGCTGGGGAGCAACCCCCAGTTCTTAGAACCCATCAGGTACTTTCGATGAAGTATTTGTGTGGCCCAGCCAGAGTTCTGAGGATCACAGATAGTTTGCCATCAGGCCCTGGACGTGAAGGGAGAGGAGGCCTTTGCCTTTGCTCTCAGGTCAGAGCCCAGTGACAATGGTATTTAAGTGGAAAGAGGTGCCCAGAACCAGTGCAGAGTGGCGGCTTTCCTGCCTTTCAGCTGTTACTCAAGGGAAGAATTACCTGTCACAGCCCGTTCCGACATACACATGGCTGCAGGCGTGTGTGTATGTGTACACTTGTACGTATATGCCCACAGTTTATGTGCTCAGCATTTAGCAGGTGCTTAGTAAAGGCTTAAATGCAGCAAAGAATGAATGACCGAAGACCAAAGGCTTTAAAAGACTGTAAGGGAGAAGACGGAGGCTGTGACCACATGTGTGTGGCCGCCTCCATCTGAGAAGATTGTTCCTTTCACCAGGGATGGGAGGGGACAGGGAAGGCGGGTAGGCCAGAGTCTGGGCAGATGAACTCCCCTGGAGAGCGACCTCTTCTTTCATCTGGATGCTGCTGGGGAGTTGAGTCTGGGCCCAGGAAACCCTTTCTCCTCACCTATTCCATTGAGGAAATGAACTGAGCCTTGGAACCTTTTCTCAAACCTCGATTCTGGTTCTCTGCACAAGTGGTCAGAACCAGGAAGAAAGTTGGCTTGTAGTAACTTTTTTTTACATTCCACACATGGTCAAATTAAAAGGTAATTTTTTTAATTTAATTTTTAACTTCTTAAAAAAGATTTTACATATTTTACACACACAGAGGGAGAAGGAGGGAGCACAAGCAGGGAGAGTGGGAGAGCCCCTGATGCAGGGCTTGATCCCAGGACCCCAGGATCACAACCTGAGCCGAAGGCAGACACTCAACCACTGAGCCCCCCAGCTGCACCTAAAAAGATAAACTTTAAAGTAACAAAGATTAACCCCAAAGTGAAGCAAAGGCATGGGCCTTAAGTTTGTCTTAAACAAACGCTCACCTCACCTCCTGATAAAGCCCCCGGGTCCCATGCATGTGCGTGGGGTGGGGGTTGGGGGATGACTGACTTTCCAGCGGAGTAGGTTTGCATCCTCATGATCTTGTCCGCCTCTTCCTCAGCCGCTGCAGCATTCCTGGTGTCTCTCTACATTAAGGACATCTGGCTGGGGGCTCAGCGGCCAGACACCCTCTTAAGTCATGTCCAAATGATCTGTGACGCCGCAGAGGACACGCCAGGTGGTGATGAGGAGGCCATCGTCATCCTCTGCAAGGACATCGCCGCCTCAGTCCCCTATGCTTGACGCCCTGCCACCTGACACCTCCTGGCACCAGGTTCTAGAAGTTTCATTGAGTCAGGATTTCCAAGCAAGGCTTATATAATGACAAGTTCTGTCCATATTAACTCAGTTTCCTGACAAGTGAAGCTGACTTATTTAAGTCACCAATAAGTATTAAGCTCAAGGGACTGTGCATACAACGTGGTCTAAGCTGTGATGGCATGGGTCCGTCTGGGCCACAAGCCTGTTCAGTGTTCCAAAAGGTAAGACCCTTCCTCTCGGCTTTGTTGCTCTTGAAAGAAAAGACCTCAAATTGAAGTAACATTTCTGAGTACCTAAGGGATTTGTAGATATTTAAGCTAAAATGTCCAAGAATATGATATGTCAGATAAAAGAGTGTGAAACGTTTCAGCTTTTCTTTCCATGAGAAGTCTTGCAAAGCTTTGTATAACTTTCTGAGTGAGCTCCTGCCCGTAATTATTTTAGTAAGTAAAAGGGTGTTATGCTAGATCCTTAGAGTATAAAATTGATTTGACCTGTGCTTTGGGAAGAGAGCCTGTATTTTTTTTAAACTGTCTCAAAAGAGGGATTTGGGATTTTTATAACTTGTTAATAAATGTCTATTTTTGTTAGGCTTTTGTGTTTTTCTTGATTGATATTAATAGGTCATTTTGTTTCACAGAAACCTATGTTTTAGAGGTCAAGATTTGGCTTTTCAGGTTCCTGTATTAATTGGAGCAGCAGCTGACAAACCTCAGGAGAGCTCTGGCCTGGGGACTTAGAGCTCCGAGTGCCCACTCCCCTCTTGCGCAGCTTGGCCCCTGGGGGCTGGTCACAGGTCACAGGTCAGCACAATAGCGTTCCTGTCCATCGGCTCAGCTCAAGCATTTACACTTTCATATTCCTCCAATCTTCCTTAGGCTCATTTCTAGTTGTTTCTCACGATTTAGGATTTTTTTTTTTTTTAAATTCATGAGAGACACAGAGAGGCAGAGACATACGCAAAGGGAGAAGCAGGCTCCCTGTGGGGAGTCCAATGCGGGATTCAATCTCAGGACCCCAGGATCATGACCTGAGTGAAGGTAGATGCTCAACCACTGAGCCATCCAGGCGTTCCAACAATTTAGGATTTTTAACCAGGTTACAAGTAATGCTTCTCTGCCTCCAGTCCCCTCACCACATATGGGCTCATTGTCTAGAAAACAGGGAACAGCTGCCTCCTCTCCCCATCTTCCCCCAAACACCCACAACCATGTTTTTGGAGACCATCCCTAAGTCAGAATCCTGTGTTTAGATTCAAGTAAGAAGGGCCACATGCTCTTTCTCACTCCCCACACCCCCCCACATCCCTCCATTCCCCCATTGCCGTGTCTCCAGAGCTCATCAGTCTCCCCTCCCTCATCTCCCTTCTAACCCACAGCCCCGAGTCAGGTGAGGCCAAGCGGACCTTCCTCTGGAGAAATTGTCAGTCTGCCTTGGGGAGGGGGTGGGGTGGTTCTGTGGTCTCTGTACTTTGGTGCTGTCTCTGCTGGAGCCAGACCGTTGAGCACTAGAGGACTGATCCTTCGGAGAACTCAGACCAGAGGTCCCATAACGTCACCCAGACGGGACCCATCCTAGCAGCTCAAAGAGGTCCCGCAACAACATTCTGATGCAGACCGTCTCCTCTTGGAATCTGTCTTTTAGAGGCTTTGAGGAGGTTGGGAGTGTAACTTGGGTCCCTTGACCACCGTCAACTAGCCTGGCAGAGCCTGTACTGCTGTCAGTGGGGGATGGGTAGGAACTTCACAGCCCTCCCTGGGTGTCCTAAAGACCCTCAGATCCACCTAGGACTCAAGGGTTGACAAATACTGTAGCAGGATGGAGCTCCTGGGTGTCTCAGTTGGTTAAGCATCAGACTGTTGGTTTCAGCTCTGGTCATGATCTCAGGGTCCTGAGTTGGAGCCCCGTGTTGGGCTCCCTGCTCAGCAGGGCATCTGCCTGTCTCCCTCTCTCTCTGCCCTTCCCCCGGCACGCACACACGCACACACACAAACACACATGCATGTGCTCTTCCCCCCGCCCAAATAAATTTTTTAGAAAGACTATATTACAGCAGTAGGAGTTGAAGCTAAAAAGTGGCCCAGTAAAGATAAGCAAGCAAATATTTTTTAGAGTTAATTCATGTATGTTTTATTTTCGACCCTTCCCAAAGTGAACACAAAGAGTAAGTATGCAGGTAAAAGGCACTAAAAATCAGCAATATCTAGGGCTACTTCCCTGTGCTAGGATGGGTCCTGCAGGCCCCGGATAATGCATATTCGTGCTCCCTTGGAGAGTACATCTGGCCTAGTTGCCCTTCCTGCTACATGCAAGCAGGCTTTGCGAAGGCACTTCGGTGTCCTGGTTGGTTTGAGTTCACCGATTTGCTGATGTCAATTCTATGATTGAGAGGTTCTGTCTCCAGGTGGAGGCTCGCCCCGCTTGTTCTGGATGTCAGCTGATGCTGTGGGGGTCCCCCATCGAAGGTCAGTCCTGGAGGAGAGCAGGGTGGGTCTGGGGGGGGCAGAGTGGGGCAAGTCGGAGGGGCTCCTGGCCACAACCACTGCTCAGGGCTGGATACTCTGCTCCCTGGTTCCTCGCCCGAGCTCCATGGATCCTGTGGGGTGTCTCCGGATGCAGAGTGGGAGGTGGAGGCTGTGACTCCAGGGGCATATTGGGTGGTGCTGGTTGTTGTTCCTGTGGACAGAGCAGGTGGGAGGAGACAGGCATCAAAGCTGGGGAGAGAACTTACTGGCTGCTTTCCTGTGGCACTGTCCTGCCTGCCCAAAGCCCGTAAAGAAAGCAACACAGGGCTGAAGCACCTCCTCTAGGGGACCAGACCCTGGGAGAGGGTCAGCCCAGCTCACAAAGGTCACCACTGTGGAGAAATTAACAGGTAGTGCTTGATGGTGACCTTGACCCTAGGTCATTCCCTCTGAGGTCACTTCTCCCTCTTGTCCAGTTACGATGGGGAGCAGGCAGGTTGACCTTCCATCCGTCCATGTTTGAATATATAACTCATATATCTCTGCCTCCAGCCAACTTGTATCTTAGCTAGAAATCCATACTCTGGATGCCTCTCCTGAACGTGGGGTGCTGGGGCCAGTGGGCACAGCTGCCCAGCGTGATCCAGCTCACCACATCTCACTTGCCTTCAGTTTCATCAATGAAATGGGACTGTAATCACCTCCTAGCTATCATCAGGGCAACCTGAGGTGATACATTGGTAGAGAACTAGTCTATGCCAGAGAACTAGTTTCAACGAGTTATAATTCCCACATGAGTGAAGATGGTCAGGAAGGGAGCCCGATGGAGCAGAGCCCTCCTTTCAGACGACGCTAGCACAATTTATGTATTTCTTTTTTTAAGCATAGAAAGAGCAACTCCTCAAGGAGCAACTCAGCCTGTCTTTCCCAAGTCTTACTGAAGACCCACGTGGCTGTTTCAAAGTGCCTGGAGAGTGCTTTCTTTGGTGCCAAGGTGAACAGCATCATCCATTTGCCCCATAAAATTGTAGCCCTAAAGACCTGCAGGACTCCTCACCCACGGCGGCCTGTGTGCCCTCCGGACTGGGGACCTTTCCACTGGGAGGATAGGCAACCATTCTTGCAAACTGTCCCTAGCACAGAGCTGGCGACAAGTCCCCTTAGAAGAGTGCATTCATTCCACCGCCCCCCCCGCCACCCCACCCCAGGTACTTCTTGGGGTATCAATCTGCTTAAATTCAACGTGAGTTCTTAAGACTAGAACAAAAGAATTAGATTTCCTCATTGCTCAGCAGCCGGCCCCGGCCTCCCCTGGTAACCAAGATGAACCAGAAGTGACTTGACAGTGAGCCACTGTGGGCAGGGAGGGGCGGAGGCAGGGAGACAGGGCCCCCTGAGGAAGACCTGGACATTCACAGATGGGCAGGTCCCCCCTGAACTGGCCGTGGGACCCCACCAGGTAGCAAGGCTCCCCTCTTTTCTCAGGGGCTTTGCACTCCTCATCCCCTCCTCTCCCAGACCAGCTTTGCTCATCTCTCTGCTGCCAGCTTCCTGTGCTGGCTCATGGTTTCCACTCCCCAAGATAGCTTGGTCCATGATGGAGGCCAGCCCCAGTCTTCCCCCCAGACCACTCAGTATTCCCTGGCCCCAGCTCTCCTGCCAGGCCATGATTCAAGGGGCTTTGGCCAGCCCTGGGCAGGCTCTGTTGGGTCAGTTGCCCACCCCTGGTCCCCTCAGCTGAGGCAGAGGGAAAGGCACTACAAGGTCCCTAGCTAGAACCATCATTAAGGACAACAGTAGCTGTTGGGGGGTGCAGATTAAGCTAGAAGGGGAAATTGGATGTGGTGGGCCAATTGGCTAGCACAGGAGAATTAACCTACAATAAGATAATTATTAGCTAATTACTGCTTGGAGCTCCAAGATTTTACCTCCAGTTGAGCTGCTGAGGCACACAGTAGGGATTCAGTAACAGATGGTGGCCATAGATGCCTAAGTTTGGGTCCTCTTTTCCTAGTGAGTCATTTGACAAGACCTAATGGCATGTGGGGTCACTTTGGCTTTATTTTCTTTAACCGCTTCATTGAGATAGTTTTTATACAGCAAAGTTCACCCGCTTAAAATGTAAAAATTCAAAGATCTTCAATATATTCACAAAATGGTGCAACCATCAACACACTCTGCTTTAAGATATTCTTGTCATCCAAAAAAGCAGCCCTGGCCCCATGAGCAAGCACTAATCTGCTTTCCGTCTCTAGAATTTTACTCATTCTAGGTGTTTCAGATCAATGGAATCCTACAATATGGAGCCTTTTGTGTCTAGCTTCTTTCACTGAGCACAGTGTCTTTGAAGTGCATCCGTGTCGGAGTGAATGAATCGGTGATTCTTACCTTTTTGCAACTGAATAATAGTCCATGGCGTGGACCTGCGGTCACTCACTGTTTAGCCCGGTGACTTACCTGCATCGGCACCCTCCTTACTCACCTCACCTGTGAGGAGCCTGACCAGGACATGTAGAGCAGGATGAGGAAGAGAAGCATGACGAAAAATGCCAGGCTCACCCAGAAGGCGATGACAATCAGATCTGCAGGAGGAGGGTTGGTGCATCTCAGCGTGATGGCCACAGAAGCCCACAGCCGGAGGAAATGAGGGCCCCCCCCAAGCACGGGCCGGGGGAACTGAGGGCCCTCCGAGCACTGGGGCGTAGGGCCCTGAGCAGAGGTGTTCTTTCTTCCAGCCTCCCAGCAGTGACCATTAGGAAGACTTTCCATTAACAACAATCTTGGGAAGGAACAGGGCAGCAAGGAAGTGGCTTCTTCCAGAACAACTAGCGGCAGGGTGAGTTAGGGAGATTGCTGAATTGGGTGGCACCCCATGGGTTTGCTGGTGGTGCTGCTTCCCTCATTCCCCTTCCTCTTCAGAGAGCAAAGAAAGGGCTATGAGCAGGGCAGCTCAGCTTGTGTGACAGCCAACCTCCCCTTCACCATGAGGGCTGCAGGGGCTTTTGGTGACTGCTCCACTGGGGGCAGCCTCAGAGCCCCCGGGAGCGAGAGATTTAGGAGGAGATGAGCTAGACTAGGGTACTGCAATGCTCCCGAGGCGGGAAAGGCAGAATTTTTAACCCAGGCCTCACTGGCCCCTTTCTGTCAGGGACATCTGGCCAGCTGGGGGGCGGGGGCGGGTGGGAGGGGTGGGGAGGGGTTGGCGAGTAGGATCAGGAGGGAAGAAGACCTGGGCAGGCAGCAATAGCAATGTGCCTGTATTTGGGACCAGAGGCTGAAGGGGCAGGGAATCTAGGAAACTGTTAGCCTCTTTGGGGCCCTGGGCAGAGCCTGGCAGGCCAGGAGGTGCTGTTCTCCTGGGCTCCAGATCAGGAATGTTCTACAAGTCACTAGGTACTGTTGCAATATGATAATGTTTCTCAGTGGTTGCCTCTAGGGGCAGGCACAGGGCACGGGGCTCATAATTAGCAAGTGCAAGTATCTTAACCCAGACACGCTCATGCCCCCAGGCCCAGATGCCCCCAACTGGACCTGCTACGGCACCTACATGTGTGAGCAAAGGAGGCTACTGAAGGGTGATCACCCCACAGGAATTTATTAAGCACCCACTCAGGCCAGGGGCTGTGAAGGATTCAGAGGGGGCCAAACGAGTGCAGCAGAAATGGCCGACACCTCTCTCCTGGTCAGTCCTCCCCCAGCATCCTCCCCTGAACCCCCACAGTACTTTGGGGGTAAGCCAGCCCTGCCTGTGTTGTGTTCTGTTTATGAATGGGTACACAAATGAGGAAAGGAACAAACTGAATGAATGAATGAATGAATGAGTGCGTGGGTGGATGGGTGGATGGATGGAGTGTTAGAGATCAATGTGTCCTTCACATAGGGCCGGAAGTGAAGGCCCTAGGGGTAAATAATGGTACTTGAGTAAAGAGTGTCGCCTCTACTCTCCGTGACCCAAGCCAGAGAAAGTGAAATCCTGTTAAAAGTTGATCTTAGGCCTTAACAGCATCAGAAACAGTTACAAGGAAGAGATAATAAATAGATGCAGTTCTTGCCAAAGGAATCAGAGCCCACCAACACCACCACCCCACCACCCCACCCCACCCCCACCCTCCCACCGCCACCTTGTAACTATGCGTCAGCCACTTGGCCTTCCTGCTCGGGAGAGACAAGGACAACGAAAGCCCCCAGGCTGGCTTCCCCACATCCTCTCTCGAAACAGATGGTGGCGCCCCAGAGCACTGACCAGTTTAAGGGGGCCTGTGGGCTCCCAGGAAACAGGGAATGGGGTCGTTACTGTCTGTCCTAAACTGAAGGACTTTTGAAGGAGCCTCTGACGTTCTTAGCATTCTCTGCTCACCACGCACGATGCTGGAACACCTGCTCTGCTTCCACCGGCCGGTCACAATTGATTTTACAACCCCCAAAGTGTGACGGGATAAATGCTTTCAGAAGTTTTGGGTTTCTTCTGTAAGGGTGTTTTAGATTTAGGCAGACGCCACTGCTCTCTCTCCTTCATAAAAATAATACAGGCTTTGAGGTCTTCAGCACCTAGTTAGGTTCTGTCCGGGCCTCTAAGAAAACAGCTTCAAAAGTTTCCCAGCTGAGACAGCCCCTCCCCTTCCCCTGGTCTCACACTGGTCCGCCTGGCCCTCCGTCACTATCCCCACCTAACTGGGCAGGAAATGACGCGACACCTTGCACAGACAGAACACGATGTCTTCAGAGAAGCGTGAGTTGAGTTTTTTCTCCGACCAGAAAGGCTATCAGTAGCCATTTCCTGTACTAAATTCTTTTTCCTTATGCTCTGTTGAAAAAGATGGCCAAAAAAATACGGGTCTTTTTCCTCTTCCCACTGAAGACTCAGTCTAAGTGCTTGGAGAGAACATTCTGTTCCAGGGGAAGAGCTGCCCTGGTGATGGAAATGTTTAAACATCCCTGAGCTTGTTTTTACAATGGGGAGCACAGGCTGGCTTGACAAGGAAACTGGCCCAGTCACAGAAAACTTCCTCCCTTCCCGCCTCTTCCCCCACTTCGCCGCCTCCTCCGCTTCACCCCTCCCCCTCTCTTCTCTTCCCCTTTCCCCCCTGGCAGAATGAGGGGATTAGGCATCCACAATCCATTGACAAGAAGGCATGGTGGGGCATCACATCCGGGGATTTCTCATCCTACCTCGGAGCTGAGGAAGTAATCTGACCCATATACTCTCTACTCGTATGGCAGGCACCCCAGTTTTGTTAAATTTTGTTAACTGCTAAACCTGTTTTAACATTCCTCCAAGTGCTGCTAATTAGCATTTGGGTCCCAGCATCCTGGTAGGAGACTAACTCCAAGATTTTTTTTCCCTTCTTGGGGAACAACGCTGGGGGTAAGGACCTAGGTTCTGCAGGTGGGTGGCTTTGAATTCAAACTCTGTCTTGGCCATTTTCTAGACACGGGATCTCGGGCAATCTGGGATTTTTACATCTCTAACCCTGTTAAATGGGGGTGATGGTGTGTATTATATAGACTGCTGGGTGGATTAAATAAAATGATCTGCATACAGAATGCACATGGCACCATTCCTAGTTAATGGTTGTGAAATGATAAAAAGAACTAAAATTATTATTTCTGTTAAGAGGGTATTGTGGCAAGCGATGTCACTGTGTCCTTCAGGCTCCGCCGTAATATAGGATATGAGCAAAGGTGATTGTGGTGTAGACTGGTGGCTCTCCATCCTAATGTTTGCTCGCAAGTGCTTTCACAGTAACAGAGGCCCTGCCTCTTGAGGCCTGAGATGAAGACTACATTTCCCAGACTCCCTTTTGGCTGGATATGGTCATGTGACAAGGTTCTGGCCAATGATGTGAGGGGGGGCTGTTCCTGGATGTCCTACAGAGACTGCTAGATTTTTCTTTTTTTTTTTTTCTTTTTTTTTTTTTTTTTTTTTTTGACTGCTAGATTTCTAGTAACTATGGATCCCTTCATGGGTCCCTACTCTACCTTGCTGGCGGGAGGCTCGGACCTGAGGGACAGGTCCCGGGCAGGCAGAGCAAGGAGCTGGAAGGAAGCTGGCTTCTGAGGCTTCCATGGAGCAGACCCAGCGCCTGGTCCTGCAGACTTTTACGTTGAGAGAGAAACCTACTTCTGTTTCATCTGGTCCTCTTACTCATAACCAGTCTTCTTCATTGAATCAGTAAACAAGCTGACTTTTTCAATGAGCACACCAAGACTTACAAACCCAAATGGATGCTGACTTTCACAGTAATCATCCTCTATCATAGTCATATAAATTTTCCTGAAATACGTATCTTGATTAAACATTTACAAACATTTGCCAAAGATTCATAAGTACTTTTATTTTTTATTTTTATTTTTTTAAGATTTTATTTATTTATTTATTTATTTATTTATTTATTTATTCACGAGAGACACACGGAGAGAGGCAGAGACACGAGCAGAGGAAGAAGCAGGCTCCCTGCAGGACTCGATCCCAGGACCCCAGGATCACACCCTGGGCCAAAGGCGGATGCTCAACCTCTGAGCCACCCAGGGGTCCCTCAAAGTACTTTTCAATTATTCTTTTGGAATTACCATCAAGGACATACACACACATATAATACACACACACACACACACCAGTTTTGCTACTTTGTAAAATATTATTTTCAACTTTTCAATTATTCTTTTGGAATTACCATCAAGGACATACACACACATATAATACACACACACACACACACCAGTTTTGCTACTTTGTAAAATCTTATTTTCAACCCCCACGTTGAATCAGCGCCATCTTATTTTCAACCCCCACGTTGAATCAGCGCCATCATCCCTCCCATTAACCCGATTGGTTTATGGGTGATTCTTAACTATTTCCCAAAAGCAAATCCACCCTGGAGAGATGTACGTAGTTTAGCACTGCAGATGTCCCATAGAATATGCTGTCACTACCAAAGTCAGTTCCAAAAGAAGAGCCCCAAGAAGTTTTTGAGCAATAATGGAATCATTCATGTGTAGCACCTCTAGTTGGGGCTACCTCCATGGGAAAGTCATTCTGAGGTAAACAGGCTGAAATCTTGTTTAAAAATCACTTTCACTACTTATGTCCTACCCACAGGGTTGACCATTTGCTGAAGAGTCAGAAGTCTCCGTTAAAGTCTTAACATGAAATTAATTGCTCCGATGCAAGAAAAGAATTATGTATCATGAGTTCTCTGCCTTGTGTTCAGAAGAGATGAGTTAGTGACCTGTTTCCATGAGAGCAGCCGATGTACAGACCACCTTATTATTGAATCTGCCAGAACCAGTAGTACATCAGGGGAAGTCGATGTAGGCCCTGACAAATTTTTCCTAAGCCATAATTGAAGGAAGAAGACCTCTTGACCTGAGAAGTAAATAATTCAGCATGAAAGCCAGGCACTACCCAAGGGAAATCAAGCCATCTTGCTGCTCCCTGCAAGGGAGCATCAGAGCAGTATCTGGAGATTCATCACATTAGAATAATATATTTTGCTGGGGTGACATTGGTATCTGGGACTGTCTTCCCCTAAGCTTTGCCTCTGAAAAGGAGACAGATAGAAAAGCAAACATATAATTAGCT